AAACGAGGCTTTTTAATTTGAGGTAGTGAATGTGCTGCTTGTTTCCCTGCCTTGTAAAGTACCTACGTTGTATTAATGTGACTGTTAAGATAATCATGTTTTTTGATGAAAGCATGAGACTAAAATGATGTTTCCAAATGAAGGTTGTTTTGATTTATTCCCAGTATGCAGCACGCATAATTTTGCTTCCCTAACTCTTTGAAGCAAGCTTTAATTTTATGGCTCTGGCTGTTGCTTCTGCTGTGCTGTGCCGTACCTACCAGCTATTTAATGTTCAACGTCGAGGAGTAAATTAATGCAGGTCCACAAAGAGAGCACTTCGATTTGCTAATTGCTTGTAGAGCGGAGGGTATTGTTGTATAGAGAAAGACTGTTCATTAGAGATCGAGTAGCTAATTTTTTCCTACAAGTGAGTCTCACATTTGAGCCCTTTGCCCATCAGTCAGGGCTCTCGTTGAGTCCCCGGGGGAGAACGTGGGGCTGGGGCTGCCCTCCGTGATAACACCTGCACTGCAGCCACCAGATTGCTGGGGTTCCCTTCCTCAAACCCTCCCTTGACAGCCTCCTCCAGCATCGCCAGCGAAGGCTGACTTTTGGAAGGTATAGGAGACGGATTATTGACGCAGGGAAGCGAGCTAAACAATTCAGAGATGTCTCCTTAGGAGCCAAATCGGCTCCTCTCCTTGGAAACCGTTCCTTCTCCTCTTTCAGCCCTGAGCTGCTGGATCCCGGCGAGGCCGGAGCACGGGTTATCTCTCCTCTCCTGCCACTCGCTTTGAGGATGACAGGAGCATTGACAGTAGATTAGACTGTGTTGTCATGTAAGATGAATGTTTTGAATTGACAAACCCTTTTTTTCGGAGGCTTAAAGTAATTGACTGAATACTTGAGAGGATTTTTATTTTTTTTTTATTTCCTGCTTTGCTACTTGATTTTCTTTTACCCGGTTGTGCTGCCTTCGGTGGGCAAATTGGACTTTACATGCATTTGTGTATCTGATTCTTAATATCTGTTTGCTTATCACATTTCTTAATGCTCGAGCTCAGTGATCCATGGGAATTTAACATGTGTATTAAGTAATGAGAATTTCCTTGGAGCTTTAAGTTAACTTTTATGCGTAGTCTGAAAATTCAACACACGAATCTATGCCATTGAGAGATTCCTGAGGTACCGAGGTGAATGTGAGCAATCAGCCTGAAAAACAAAGCTGAGCTACCTATAGGTAGGACGTAGGTACATGGAGATGGACTCTTGATCAGGGAATGGAGTGATAGAATGAAGGTAAGGGTTTTAAACTGAAAGAGGGGAGATTGAGATGAGATATTAGGAAGAAATTCTTTGGTGTGAGGGTGGTGAGAGCCTGGCCCAGGTTGCCCAGAGAAGCTGTGGCTGCCCCATCCCTGGAGGGGTTCAAGGCCAGGTTGGAGGGGGCTTGGAGCAACCTGGTGTGGTGGGAGGTGTCCCTGCCCAGGGCAGGGGGTGGCACTGGATGGTCTTTAAGGCCCTTTCCAATACGAACCATTCTATGATTCTAGGATATTGCTTTTCCCAGTGCAAAACTCTGAGGTGGGACTGGCAACTGCTCCAACATCGGCTGCAGAGAGCCCTCCCGTGTCTGCAGGGACCAAGACCTGGGGCACGCCATCTCCTTTCCAGCCACCAAAGTGGTTCAGGGTCATGTTCATCCTTTTGTTGGCTGCATGTAGCCAGAGCTTGATAAATTCCAAGGAAGAACACTCTTTCCATCAGGTCTTTCCTGGTTCATGCCTGACGTGGGGCTGGTGCAAGGCCTCAGCGCCGGCCCTGGGCCCTCGGCAGCTCCGTCCTTCCATGGCTGTGGTGGCAGCTCCTCCCGAGCTCTCTGATTAAGTGAGGTGTGGGGACAAGTTCAGAGCCTAATTTCTTCTTCATAATTAAAAATGTGTGCATCTGTCACGCTGCTGGTGATTAGGTTGTATTTTCTTGTGGCCTAGGAGGAATATGGCAGTGAATCACTTCGCAAGCAGCTGTCCTCTAACAGCTGAGCTAGGTTCAATATTTGATTTAAGCTAATAAAAAGTCTGGGGTAGGGCTAATGTTTACAAACTGGATGTGATAAAGCATTTGGATCATCTGTTTCACAGCCAGGCGAGAGCAGGCAGGAGGGACCCTGGGGAGGATTTGGGCTCTGCCTGGGGCCCTCCTGCAGCCATGGGGACAGGCCAGAGGGTCCCAGCTCCAGGTGGGAATCACTTCGGACAGGATCAGCCAGGCTGGAAAAGCCTCTTTGTTTCCATCTGTATCACAGTAACAGCTCTGAATGCATTAAATATGTCCCTTTTGCTCTTCTGTGAGAGTTTGTAGTCAAACCATACGTTTAAAAATCTTTTAATCTTCATAAATCATTTCTTCCAGCAGTCTAGTAAGTTTAGTTGCTGTTCTCTGATTTCCCACTCGTTAGCTACTCCGTCCCTTTGAGATGAACTGCCTAGAAATAAATGCAATGAAGAAAACTTGCTTTGTGATTTAATTCTTATCTGATTGCTTCTCCAAATTGTATTGATCTGCCGTTATCACGCTGCGGTGCTGGACTTGCTGCCCAGGTTTGCCTCTAGGTCCCTTGCATAGCAGCTTGAGAGGTTTGGATTTGGTTATTTTCCCCAAGACAGCTTATATATAAGGTAAATTATGGAATAATTCCTGCTTGTATTTCTTATTTCTCCCATCCCTTTGTATTATTTCTCTCCCGTCTAAACATTTTTTGCAGCTTTTTCCTGAAATAAGATATGCCTTGTCTATCTTTTTTTTTTTTTTTCCTTAATTTTATCAAGGTCTTGTACGTTAAAATGCTTTTATACTGTCTAGTGCAACAAGTTCCTTAACTGCTGTTGTCTTGATACTGTAAAGGAAAATATTTCCACTGTGAAAGTGGCCAAAGCTTGGCACAGGTTGCTCGGAGAGGTTGTAGAGTTCGCCTCCTTGGAGATTGTCAAGACCCAGCTGGCCAAGACCTCTGAGCATCCTGATGTCGATGACACTGCTCTGAGCAGGGACTGAGCTGGTCTCTTCCAGTTGGAATTACTCCGTGGTTCCTGTACAAGTCTGTACTAACAGGAGCCTGAACAGAGAAACGACCCTCAAATTCAGGAGTGGTGGCTTCTGTATAGCAAAGATGTAATTCTTAATGGCTGTATACATCTAGTTTAGTGTAAGCAAGAATTTCTTATCCAAACATCATCATCTTCATATAGATGAAGGCTATTAAATATACAGAGAAGTTGGGGCGGGGATCAAGGCAAGAATTTCTCATTCAAATATCATATACATCTTCATATAGATGAAGGCTATAAAATATACAGAGAAGTTGGGGCGGGGATCAAAAATTTTCAGTCTTGGGGTGTTTTTCAAAGGCTTTGCTGGTGTCTCTCATAAATAACATCTCTGAGGGGGATGTTTTCTAATTCTTCTCCGTGGGACTCTTTTCTGGCTCCAGCCTGCTGGTGTAATTCTACCTGATTCAATAGTAGTGGGGAAAAAAAAGTCTTTCCCAGATGTCTGCAATTTATAGTTTCCTGATGGTTCAGCATCAAACTTGGTGATAATTTCATTTTTTCTTCTCACTTGCTTGTACATGCACTCCGGGTTTGGTGGGGACTGGCATCTCCCGCGGTGTTTAATGAACGTGTTTCATTTCCCTGTGCCAGGTCCCAGGCTTGTATTAAAACCCTTTTCATCTTATTTGAGTGTCTGTTCCTTAAATAATGTCACATCATCCCAGGCCCCGCACAGCAAGAATCTGTAACTTTTTCGGTTTCCGCTGAGCTCTGGGGCCGGGGAAGTCTTGAACTGTTTGGTTGTTTGTCTGCAAAATAGAACTTCTGCTGTGCTGAACCCTAAGACTGTAATTTCTTTGTTTGCATTTCACTGCTGTTACCCTTCAAAGCTTAATGTTTTCCTTTTCATTGTAATAAACTGCTTGCTATTTGTCTTCGGGTTGGACGTAGTACTCAAAAGACCCATTTCATGTGTGGCGAGAGATTGTTAGAGGGACTCTGGAGGGTTTTAATGAATATCAGCTTGAAATTACAGGAATTGGTTTGTAGGAAAGTTGAGGTTGTTTGGGTTTGGCTTTTTTAGTGCTTGTCTTGTTTGTTTACATTGTTTAAATTAGCTTCTCTGTCATCAGTTGTGACTATTTTTCGGGCTTTCTGCTAACCAAGGAAAGGCTGATTGCAGGCTAGCAAAGTGTTGGGAAATAAAAGATGTGGGAAGTAATAGCACTCAAGAAGCGTGGCTTCTCTTATCTCCAAAATACCCATTTCATTTAACAGTTTTTTCATAAGCAAAACTGTGACAGATCCTCTGAGTCAGATTCCCATTTCTCCCCAAATTACACAGCGATAACAAGGTATTTCCACTTTGGCTTGAGATTCTTTAAATTTCAAATTTCCTCTTCAAAAAGAAAGAACATTGCATTTGGGACCTTTTCTCACAGAAACTCAGTAGGGTAATGTTCCGGAGAGGATTTGCTCTGGATTCTACCACAACAGTTTTGAAGGCTTCCAAAACTAACCCTGTGCCCCAGAAGGTTTTCCGTGAAGTTTTCTTCACCCCCAAACACACCTTTCTGGGAGCACTGGAGCAAACCTCTTCTTCCTTTAAAGTTAAGTGTGGAAGAATTGGGTGGGTTTTAGACCCCTCCTTATGCAACTTGCAAAGAAACGGAGAGTTCTCTGACTCTTCCATGGGACTGAAATTTGGGATAGCAAATCCAGTGGATTTTCTCTCTGTGAGAAACCCCTTCATTCTCGTGTGTGTAGGCTCTTTGGGACAGCATTGTCTCCTGGAATGTGGTGCTCATAGGACATAGCAAGACCAAATGCTCATAATTCCTTTGCAACGCTGTGAAAATCATTTTGCCCTTGGTGGCTTTTTGGTTGGGAGGGAGGAACATATTATTCAACCTCAACAAATACATTCCAGACTTCATTCTCTATTTTTTTTTTTTTTTTGTCTTAAAGGCTCAGCTGGCTCAAGTTCTGGAAGAAGTGGGAAATCATAAGCAAAGAGCAGAGATGGTAAGTGTTCAGCTTTTGGGGTTTTTAAAATTGTTTTACAGAGCAGTAGCATATGCAAAGCTTAGTTCATTTAAACAGTGGATCGGTTCCAAACATTCAGAAATGAATAGCAAATAAGTGCTGTAAAAGTTTGTATCACGGCTGCTCGTCTTGGCACCCTCTGTCTCCGTGCTCACCTGGAACAAACGTTGGATGAGATCTAGTGGTCTTTCTTCCCTTTTTTTTTTTTTTTGGCAATTTGCTTTCTCTTTGTTAGCAGTTCTAGATCAGAAGCAAGCACTTTATTTCATACTGAATTAACTCCTTTCTTTGGGGGCCTTTGATTCAGTCTCGAGTGTGCAAAGGACAAGCAGATGAGATGTGGCAGAATTAACACAAACTAGTTTTTTATAATATCTGTTAATTTTCTGCTGGGTTTGTCTGTTTTATTGGCAGTTCCCTCAAGAACCAAGAATAATAGAGGCCACAAAACCAGGCAGGAGGGAGGTTTATGTGCAGTTTATGACTATTGTATACAGTTCTTCCTACTCGGGAATAAATGAGGTGTCAGCATTAAGCTGTTTCATGAAGTAGTGTCTTTGCTAATGGATGAGTTGTGGGATTCCTGACACCTTTTCTAGTCATGAGAAAGACCTGAGCAGCACTCAAGATGTCAACGCTCATTCTGCAGATGTGTTTTACACTGTATTAATTTTATTCCTAATGAAAAAGATGGGCATGCATCACTGGCTGGTAAGTAGGTGCTAAACAGTCCTCTGCTCTGAAACCCAAACCATAAACCACGGTGCCAACATTGGTCATCTTGGACTTCTGCTTCTTCAGGGCACTGAAGGGCAGAGCTGGCGAGCCCTTGTTCTGCCATTACTAGGTTGCCACACATCTGCTAGTTTCTTTTTTTCTTTTAAATTTGTGCTCCTTGCTGTTTCAGCAGCAGATTTTCTATAATGAGAATGTTAATTGATTCCAGTTCTGGGGTGGTCTTAACATTGTGGGCAAACACTTTTGTATGCTCAGCCGCTTTCTCTGGTGACAGAGGCCAGAACTGATATTTCCAAAGAAAACTGAATTAATCCTATTTACCATCTGATCTTATTACACGCTGCCTTGTTATAGTTTTAAATTCTATACAATCAATTTTGCATTGTGCTCACTGGATGTATCAGAGGATAAATTTGCTGTTATGTTTTAAATGTTCTGATATGTGGGTTTTTTTAAACATTTCAAAGTTGTTCTTTTTGGCTCATTAAGCCTGGGGTTTGAGTTATTTGTTTGCCTTCAGAAGTTTGCTGTACTAAAACAGGGTACCAAAGAGCTGGGGAAACTGGAACTTCCAGCGTTGAAGCATTAATTGGTGGTGTGCATCATCCATCAGCAGAGGACAAAGCAGCAGTCAGTGCTCAGTGCCTATTCCCAAGGGTTACTCAGTGGAAAACTGCAGGTCTTGTGATGTTCCAGTAAATCCTACATCAATCTCAGCCGAATAGGCTGGGTCCTGGAGGGCTTCAGACGATGGATTGCAGATTGTGGGGTGTGGGCTTTATTCAGCATTTTTAATTTTGTTCAGCAAATATAAGAAGATGGCTTCAAACAGAGGAAGGAGCTTGTTTTCCCTCGGTTTTGTTTTTGAGAAGAAACTTGACACTATAGTTCCTATTTTTCACTGGTGGTGGGTGGTTCTCCTGCATCCCCAGGTGAAATCTCCCTGGTAGGGGCAGGTGTGTCACTTCATCTCTTCTCTAATGTTTAGGGTGGCAGCGGTCTGTCTTCTTTGGATGGGGCTCCTGAGGGCTCCAGCACTTGCACCATCAGCCCCACTCTCCTCCCTACATCCAACAAAATCTTTATGTGCTTTTTTCTCCCCCCTCCCCAGCTCAGTGTCTCACCTGGATGGCCTTATTTTCAGACTCCTTTAAAACTGATGCTTTAGCAGTTGTTTGCTGGGTTGGATTCCTGGCATCTCACCTTCCTTTTCATCCCTCTACCTTTTTTTTTTTTTTTTTTCCCACCCATGATCCAATGCTTGTTAGTTTGATGTTCAGGCTCCACAGCTGGGGGTGCAGAAGGACTCGTTCTGCTCCAGGTGCTGACAGATGTGGATATTGCTTTTCATCAGCCATTCTGCAAACTGGTTTATGGCCCTGAGTGAGATGGAATAAACACCTGCCAGGCGCTATCGTACCGTCTGATGGGTCTTTGGGCTGCTTCTGGGATAAACCTCCGTAGAGGTGACATCTCTGCTGCTACCCTGAAGGGTGCTAATGGCTTTGCCACCCTCCCCAGAGCTCTGGGAATGAAGCCCTGTGCTCTGGAGCTGGTGAACTCGCTGATTGGATCTCACTGATGAGTGTGATGAGGTTTCTTACACGCCATGGGGAGCATCTTAGATGCCCTGGTAAATAATTCATTCTTTACAGAGCAATATTTAAAAGTAAAATACTTGGGGGATAACTCTGATAGGATCGTGGCCTCAATAAGGCAGGAGCTGCACATTCTGTGTCCTTGGGAAGACCCTTGGTTTGGGGAATTGTGTCCACGGGGACAAAAGGAGACGTAGGGTGGTGCTGGCTGTAGGGGACACGGGTCTGGGCCAGGACACAAGGTCCTGCTGAGGGACCATGAGATGGACCTGCTGAAGTAACTGCATTGAGTACCCCAGAGTGGCTTCATTGCTCGTCAGCTAAAGTGAGTTTACCACTGGAAGAACACAACAAAAAAATAGAAAAGAAATTTAAACATCTTCAGCTAATTGCAGTTGACAAGACAAAGGCAGTTTGACTTTCCAGTATTAATTAGCAAACCCATACTAATTAGCTTGTATAAGCACAATTCATGCTTCTCTCCCTAAATGCAATTAATATTGCAACTGAAGACGTCTCTGGGCTGTGCCGCTGTATCATTAACATACTTTGCACTAATTAGACACGGCCAGTAGTGGCTGGAGAAATGAGTTTGTGATTACAACCATAAAAAATCCTCTAATATTTTATATCCTTCAGGGAACTTGAACCTAGAATTTATTTTCTGATTTAAGAAAAATTACCCTTATCACTGTGCTGTGTAATTATAACAATGAAACTTTGATTTTTCTCTCCCTCTAACCCTTCACTTATTTATTTTTCTTTATTCACCGTTTGATTGTGTTCCCGTTGTGAGGCACCAGGGCTTGCCCAGTCTTCTGAGAGTTGGTACGCAATGACTTGCCCAGTCTTCTGAGAGTTGGTACGCAACAGTCACCAACCTGATAGGGCTCTGATGACTTAATTGTCCCACAGATCTGCAGGTTTTGTGTTTCTTTTATTTGCTGAAAGAATGTTTTTTGATGTGATTTTTTTTTTTTTTTTGGTGCCTAAGCATGTTTCTTTCTTGCAATTTGTGTGTTTGTATGTGTGTTTGACAATTTTATCAGAGCCGGAAGTTTTCTTTATTGAGACTAGAGCTCAAATACCTTTATCCCCAGGATGTGCTGCAAGATTGCTCGGAGAGTTCACACGTTTTGGGGCCTCAGCATCTTAGTTATTATGGTTCCTTGCTCTACATAGAGCTCAGAGCTCGCTTTGCTCACACCAAAATATTATTTGTAGCAAACACTTTCCCCTTTGTTATATTTTCTTTCTTCCTCTCCATGAGGGAGGGAAGCAGAAGATGTGCTAGTTTTTCTGATTTTCATTTGCCTTTTTCATCTCCCTTTGTAGTCAGGAGGGGATTGTTTGGCTCCAGCTTGCCGTTTGACAACGGCTGTGATCCCTGATCTTACAACTTTCTTTCAGTCCAGTTCTGTAGCAGGGGGCATTCGTGTCAAGGGTTTTTTTTTTTCTCCATCATTAATCCCTGAGGGAAGTCAGCTTGGTATTAAAAAAAAGCATCACCTGTATTTTCATTGCCCTGAGGTGCTCTGGGTATCTTTTGGCTTTCATCTTCAAAAGACAGCTTGGCCCATGTGGGCTCTGAAATCTATAGCCTGCTCATTGGAACAAATTATATTTCAGCCTCCAGCAGATTAAAAAGGAAGGATATAAGAATCGGAAGAATTGCGTAGCAGGGTGGGAGGTAAAGAAGATTTGAAGTCCAAGAATGTAGCAGTCACAAAATGAATGGCATAAATTGAGTGTCCTTACAGAAGAAATAAAGTCACCTTAAAATGAGAATAATGAATTCCTTCTGCTTTGAGTAAAAGTGTTGGTTAACCCTCGGCAAAGAACAGGAGACCTTTATTTAAGGGCAGCAGGTCAGGAATAGTTAAGGAGCCAAATCATGTGTTCAGTCTGATGAAACCATAATGTTTAGGATTAACTTAAATGTCAGTGACTGCCTACACTGATGGTTGTCAGGAGAAGTGATGAAGACAGAAAGGAGAACACATGAAAGAAATGAGCACAGAGAGCACCGGGCGTGATGTAGTTGGGAACGAGCTGTTAACTCGGGAGGCGCCATGGAAAAATCACAAAAACTTTGGGAAAATCACAACAGGCATCAATATTTAAACAACCAGAGACCCACAGAGTTCATAAACCGTTCGCATTATTACTGACAGACTTTCCTTTCCAGTGGTTCCATCAGACCCCAGACTTGTAAGAACTATAACTTTTGATACTTAAGAGAAGTATTTAGCAAGGATAAAAATTTGGTTACATTTCACTTTATAGCAATATGATAATATGTAAGATTTATATTTACTTTATACATATGATATTACACATATGTATTTATATTTACTTTATACATATGATGATATGAAAGAAGTAAACTTTAGTATACAAGGACCTGCCCTGGATAATTTGACAATATAGCTCATTTAATTCTTATTTAAGAATAATTAAACATAAGGCCAGGTTGGACAGGGCTTTGAGCAACCTGGTGTAGTGGGAGGTGTCCCTGCCCATGGCTGGGGGATGGAACTGGATGGTCTTTAAGGTCTCTTCCAGCTCTAACCATTCTGTAATAAAGCAAGAAAGACAACGGACCAGGCATAAGTGGCGTTCATTAGTGGAAATATAAATTCT